GGGCGGGGCTGGCTGGATTGTGGTGCTGGGGGATTGAACCGTGGTCCCTGTGCTTTGCGAAGCTTGCTCTAAGTAGGTGCTTTAGACCACTGAGCCATCTCACCAGGCCCCATATTTTTTTCAAGTTCAGTTTATGTACAGATGCTATAACCATTATTCTTGGCACAAAGTGATACAGGGGCACTGTATTTGGTCTCTTCTCTGGTATAGCTCACCTTGGATTGGGGTGGAAGAGATTTGAATTGGGATTTGCAACCATCATATTGGTGTTAGTAAGATTAATGGGTGGCATCATCCTGTAACCTTCAGCTTGGGGCACATCCTTCCCATCATTGGAGTTAGTGATGGGACTGGCAGGATTCGGCAGGTCAGAGGCTGTAGGTTTTGCATTTTGGGACAAAGCACGAACATTTTCAGTTGCATCCTGATGACAGTGTCTACCTTCACACTCTGTCTTTTTCAGTTCTGAGGTATCTCCTTTTCCTCCTCTGACTTTAATAACTGTTACTTTGATCTCCTTGGGCTTTTTCTCTTTTTCTGTTTCCTAAAATAGATACACCCAAAATCTGAGTCATGACAATAGTTTTTTTTTTTTTTTTTAAATTTAGTACAGGGTCTACAGGGTCTCACTACACAGATCAGACTTGTAGTGATCCTCCTGTTTTTCAGCCTCCAAAGTGCTGGGATTAAAGGTGCGTGCCACCATGCCGTCTCAATCTCAGCATGCAGGAGATTGAACCCTAAACAGGCGCTTTAATCTGCTGAGCTATCTGACTGGCCCCGACAATCGTTATTTGTTTATTTATTACAATAGTTATTTTTGTACTAACTATAATACAGTTATACCGGCTGAAATAAAAAGCCAAAGTTCTTACCTTTCCCAAATCTGAAGTACTTACCAGTGCATTGGTAAACATTGTTTTTCTTTCATCTTTCATTAGTTCATTTTCTTTGGAATTGTCTTTGGACTTTATGAATGAATTGACTTTTGCTTCTTGCAGTAGTTTAGCTCTTAATTCTGGTAAGAACCTAACAAAACAAGTAATATCAACCATGTAGATATAGATAGATATAGATGAATTTTCATGGTACTATGCATTCAACCCATAGCTTTACATGTTAGGCAAGCACTCTACTGGTAAACTAATTATCCAGCCCAATAATCTTTCATTTGTGTAGGGTTTTTTTGTTTTTTTTTGTTTTTTTTGTTTTTTTTTTTTTGGTGGTATTGGGGATTAAACTCAGGACCTTGTGCTTGCCAGGCAAACACTTATTCTACTGAGCTATCTCCCCAGCCCTTTTTGGTCTTTTCAAGACAAAGTTTTGCTAAGCAGTTCAGGATGGCCTTAAACTTGTAGCGATCCTCCTATCTCAGCTTCCCAAGTGCTGAGATTATAGGCATGTGCCATCATGCCTGGTTTATTTGTGTAGATGTTCTTTTTTTTTCTTTTGCTCTGAATGCCTTCGGGGCAGGTTTGGCTGGCTTGAGTTGTGGGAATCGAACCACAGCAACCTGAGCCTGACTGCTTTGTTGAAGCAGCCACTTAAAGAACTGAGCTAAGGGGCAGGCCCCCCAGATGTTCTTAAAGAACCTTCTCATCAGGGCCAGGGAGATGGCTCAGTGGAATAAGTGTTTCCCTGGCAAGCACAAGGGTCTGAGTTTGATCCCTGATTCTGTCAAGAAAAAAAAAAAAAAAAGAACCATCTCATCAAAAAAATTATGTTTCAGCTATACCATAAATAATGCTGTATAATTATAATGCATGCCAAGAAATAACAATATTTATTTACCTAATCAAAATTGTTTCCCGAGGCTGAGGCAGGAGGATCACCAAGAGTTTTGAGGTCAGCTTCAGATACATAATGAAACCCTGTCCCATAAAACAAAACAAGGGGCTGGGGAGATGGCTCAGTGGAATAAGCGCTTCTCTGTCAAGCACAAGGGCCTGAGTTCAATCCCTGGTTCCGCCAAAAAAAAAAAAAAGGCTGAGAGATAGTTCAGCACCTGCCTGGCACATGTAAGGTCCTGAGTTTAATCCCTGGTACCAAAAAATAAATAAATAAATAAAAATAATTGTGTGTCCTGTATAGTTTTTCTTGCAAACTGTTTACAACACTACCCAAGACATTGTGACTAACTATAAAGAATATTAGCTGCATCTTTTTGTTAGAATTTTGATCCATGATAGCTGTGTGGCTATACCTAGTTAACATGTCATACAATAGCTCTAAGATTTTGTTAAATTTAATATTTGTGTAACATAACACTAACCTATGTAGCAATACTCCTTGTAATAAAATTTCCTAGTATAGAACTTTGAAAAGGGCAGCCATGGTAGTAGACAACTAACCTCGCATTTGGGAGGCTAAGGAAGGAGGATTGCTTGGAGTTCAAGGCCAGCCTAGGTTACATGGCAAGACCCTATCTCAAACAAACAAACACAAACAAAAAAAATTTTAAGGCCACATCCACTAAAATACTTACTTTTCAATAAATCCATCTCTAGTAAAATATTCATAATGCAAAAGATCAGTACATGATAGCCTCTCGCCAGGATCAATTTGTAAACAAGCCTAGAAAAGAAAAACAATTTTAATACAGTAATGAGTTTTTAACAGGGTAAAACTTCATTTGACAAATAAAGGAATACTTACAGCTAAAAGAGTTCTTTTAAAGATATTGAGATTTCAGGAAATCTTTTTTTTTTTTTTTTTTTCTTGGCGGAACCAGGGATTGAACTCAGATCCTTGCGTTTGCCAGTCAAGTGTTTATCCTACTGAGCCATTTCCCCAGCCCCAAGAGATTTCAGGAAATCTTAACCATTTATTTTCCTAATAGCTTTGTACTTGTAAGGCATTGTTATGGGTTAAATATCCTGTGATTCTAGCCAAAACAAAAGTCACTCCATTTCTGCTGTACTTAACATAAAGTACTTAGCTCATTTTGGACTTCTGTTGGTTCTGGAGAGTATAAAGGTTATGGGTAATAGGTTGCACTTTACAGTGTGGAAGCACAGTGATTTGCCAAAGTGGAATCTTAACTCACCCTCTGTTCTTTCTATGACATAGCACAATCTTGCAAACATTCAGGCTCTCAAATCCTTTAGAGATCCACCATTAGAAAAGATCTTTTCTAGAGGAGGATGGTGGCAAACACCTGTAAATCCCAGCACTTGGGAAGCTCAGGCAGGAGGATTTCTTCAAGCTTTAGGTCAGCCTGGGCTACTTAGTGAGTTCAAAGCCAGCCTGAACTATATAGTGAGACTGTCTAAAAAAATCCCTAATTTTTTTTAAAAAAGAAAGGAGGGGGCCCAGCCCAATAGCTCAGTAGACTAAGCGCCTGCTTAGGCAAGTGTGGGGGCCAGGGTTTAATCTCTGGCCCCACATGCCATGCCAGCTCTACGCCTGGGGCACACTGAGCTGGAGACTAAGTCCAGGTGTGGTGGCACACACCTGTAATCTTAGCGCTGGGGAGCTGAGAACAGGAGGATCACTATGAGTTGGAACTGCATAGTAAGATCCTGTACCAAATACATAAAAAAAAAATATGAAAGTGCTAAATACTCTACATTTTTTTGATACTGGGAATCAAACTCAGGACTTTGTGCTTGCCAGACAGGCACTTATGCCACTGAGCTATCTCCCCAGAAAGTATTCTAATTGATAAGTAGGTTAAGGATGCTTTTACAGAGAAATATAACTGGCTGATAAATATTAGCAAAATGTCCAATGTATTTATCTAATCAGGAATTTTCTAAATGCAATTTTTTTAAAAAAATGTATTTAATACAGGATCTCACTATGCAGCTCAGACTCATAATGATCCTCCTGTTTTCAGCTTTTCCAGTGCTTGGATTACAGGCATGCACCACCACACTTGGACTCAGTGGCCAGCCCAACATGCCCGGAGCAGGGCTGGTGGGGGAACCGGCAGAGGCCTGCAGGGGCCAGTGCAGCATGTGGTACCAGGGATTGAACCCGGTCCCTTCGCTTGCCTAAGCAGATGGTTAGTCCACTGAGCTATCTTGCCGGCTTTCTAAATGCATTTTTTTAAAAAAGATACTATCTTTTGCTTACTAAATTAGTAATACTTTTTAAAATTATACTATTCCATGCTAAATTGAAATTGGAAATATAAAACATTCTCATTGCTATTTGTTTCTCAATAAAATTATGAAAAAAAAAGAAATAGTGGAAATATAAAACAGTGAGGACTTTCTGGGGGAAGATGTAGCAAAAATTCTAGAAATTACAAGCTCGTTTATTCACTGATCTCACTTCTAGCAATTTATCCTAAGGAAGCAATAAAACCGTGGTCTTATACTTGCTCACGTTAACGTTTTTATCAACAGCGGAAACTGAAAACAACTTACATCAAGGTGAAAACAGCAAGGTCAGTTAAACTAACTGTGTAGTCATACAATGAGGCATTACACAGCCACTGCAAATTCTGTGGCAAGCCAGACATGACATGATAGTACATGGCTGTAATTCGAGCTACACAGGAGACTGTCACAAGGGGATCTCAAGACAGAGGCCAGGTTGGCCATTTAGCAAGCCTTGTTTCAAAATGAGAAAATAGAGGGTCAGCCAAATAGCTGAGATGGCCATTGAGACTGGGTGTGGTGGTGCACACCTGTAATCCCAGCTCTTGGGAGGCTGTAAACAGGTGGATCACTATGAGTCTCATCTAGTAGTGAGACCCTGAACACCCTGTAAACTCTTCCCTAAAATACAAAATAAATAAATAAATAAATAA